CCATGTGAGAGACGTGGCTGAAGTTCCAGGTTTCTGGCTTTAGCCATGCCCTGCTCCAGCCAATGAAGCTATCTGGGGGTTGAGCCAGTGGATGGAAGATCTCTCTGTCTCTCCCTCTCTCTAACTCTGCCTATCAAATAAATAAAATGAATCATTTTTTTAAAGACATCAATAAGACTTCAGTTTGAGGAAGGTATAAGTCACACCAAGGGGTAAGTGGAATGAATAGTGGAATAACAAGCTCAGAGTAAAATCATGGGACCCTGGAATGCCAAAATGAAGGAGCCTGTATTTAAATGAAATAATAATGATTGCACTTGCTGTGTGTCCCCTACTGGAATTGCCATCTTCCTACACAATTAATTAATTAATTAATTTATCTATTTGAAAGTCAGTTACAAAGAGAGGGAGAGGGAGAAGAAGAAGGAGAGAGAGAGAGAGAGAGAGAGAGAGAGAGAGAGAGAGAGTGCTTTCATCTGCTGGTTCACTCCCCAAGTGGCCACAGTGGCCAGGCCAAAGCCAGGAGCCAGGATATTCTTCTGGGTCTCCCACATGAGTGCAGGGGCCTAAGCACTTGGGCCATTGTCCAATGCTTTTTCAAGCCATTAACATGGAGCTGGATCAGAATTGGAGAAGCTGGGACACAAACCGGCCCCATATGGGATGCCAGTACTGCAGGTGGTGGCTTTCCCCACTCTGCCACAGTGCTGGCCCCATTATCCTCATTTTACAGATGGGGAAATTAAACTTCACAAGATGAATTATATTGTCCACAGATGATTTCTCAGCAAATTTCAGATCCACAGTGTCAACCTAGTACTTCTTTTTATCCACTTTAACACTGTTTCATGTTGTTGACAGCAAATAAATACACATGTAGGTGTCCTCCTTCTGAACATCATTATGGTATGAACATTTTGCCATGTCACTAGAAGTGCTTCTTAAGCAACATTTTTATTGGTGTTGGCTGCAATATATATTCAGTATATAGACAATTACTTCAAAAATTTCTGAGAAAGATGAAATTAAAAGGTAAGTTTATTCTGGTGCAAAAAAAAATGCAATCCATGCATTTACATTTCATGAACTTCTTGAAGTCTTACCATATATGCAACTTATATCTATGATGGAACTGCATCATAGTGTGTCATTTTTGTAATATGTCATAAATTTTTAGTATTATGTTGTGCTGAACATACTTGTGACTCAGTGTATTCTTTCAGCCATTTAAAGAATGATTATTCTGGGGCCGGCACTGTGATGTAGTGGGTAAAGCTACCACCTACACTGTCTACATCCCATATGGGTCCGATTCAAGACCCTGCTGTTCTACTTTCGATCCAACTCTCCGCTATGACCTGGGAAAGCAGTAGAAGATGGCCAAAGCCCTTGGGCCCCTGCACCCATGTGGGAGACCCAGAAGAAGATCTTGGCTCCTGGCTTTGGATAGGCACAGCTCTGGCTGTTGTGGCCATTTAGGGAGTGAACTAGCAGATGGAAGACCTCTCTCTCTCTCTCTGCCGCTTCCTCTCTGTAACTCTGCCTTTCAAATAAATAAATACATAAATCTTTTAAAAAATGATTGTCTCATCTCATCCTCTTCAATATTGAATATTATCAAGCTTTTGATGGTGATAAATTACACATCATCACTTTTTTCTTTAATACAAATTAAGTTTTTTCAAGTATTTGGCATCTGTTGTTTCTTCTATTATGAAGCACCTATTCCATTCCCTGGCTCCTGTATCATTTGGAGTCTGTCATGTTCACTGGTCTGTATAAGCCCTCTCTAACAAAGGCTGTCCATGCTGCTGTCATAACTGTGGGACAAGGGTGTTCTCATCAAGTAATGAACCCAGAACTCAAGTCATTGTGCTGCTTTGGCGATTGACACTGGAGAGTCACAGTGTGACCAGGGCCCCAAGAAAGGAGGTGACCTCTGCCCCAAAGGGAAACAAACTCCCAGTTAGAGAAGCAGAATGAAATACTCTTGGTTGACTGCTCTGAGGGGATACTCATCCCCACAGGTGTTAGCATTTCCAGATTTTTTTCATGCTAATAAAGAAGAGTGCAGGAGTAGCTAAAATATACACTGCACAATGTCATTCAATTCTAAATTATGTTCCAGTCAGGCTCATGTCAAAAGCAGTGACAATTTTCCAAGGGTGTGGCTGAGGGACAATTAGAATTCTGGCATATTGCTGCACTGAAATACCGGTTTGGGTCCATGGTGTCCCCCGGCTCTCTGCTCTGCAGGGTAGGGGGAACCTCAGGATTTCCAGCTGAGGATCCCAGGACACTCAGAGAAATGAGGCTGAACCAAGCAGATATCTGCTTTCCCAGCCCCATCCTATATGGGAACAACCCTCTGCCAAAGCATCGGATCTGGGAAGACTGGAGAGGACTGAATGTGTACAAGAGCTTGTCCTGGGCCTCCTGCTAGCGACACCTTACTTACTTATGGGGGATAAGGCCTGATTCTCTTGCTCTCTGAACTGAAGAATCAACATGGAATTTAAAAACCACTGTGGTGCCTCCTGCCACTGTTCACACAGGACAGCGTGTGGTTGCCGTCTCCAGCTCCGAAGCGTGCTTTGTATTTCCCTCATCCCTGCTAAACTTCTATTGGCCGTCACACACGGGCGATAGACTCAGATGTAACTTCTCTTCCTTCACTGACCTCCTCCTGCTTGCCACCAAGGCTCCTGCTTTTTGCATAACACTGTTCCTACCATGCAGCCTTGCTTAGAGGGCCCTGTGAGCTCCTGGCAGGTGGGAAGTGGGGGTGACACAACCACAGCAGTGGGATGTGCACGGAGGATCCAGTCACCACTCTGCCTGGTTCCCAACACCAACAGGGGCACTGCCCTCGTCTCTCTGAAACTCCCTCTCCCTCATCCAGATTTTCCTGCACTCTGGCAGCGAGCAGCCTGTCTTTAGGGAGGAAGGCAATACCCCTGCCCCACACTGCCTCCTAGGTGGGCCTCCCCTTTTCTTTCAGGGGCATCTGGCCTAATTAATGCCAGCAGCACCAAGTAAGAACAACAGCACAGGTGTCAACCAGAGTCTAAGAAAGTAGGAGCAGATTCTGGGAAACCCTGGTGTTTCAGGTGGTTCTGGAGCACATAAGGCAAGTGTGCCTGGGCAGTTACAGATGAGAGACGCTGCATCCACAGTATGGCCACCTTGAGTCACAGTGGAAGGCAGACCCCCAGAAGAAATCCTGAGCCCTCCTCCCTGATGAATGCGCAGTATGAATGTGTACCCGCAACCCCACGTTCACTGGAAATCACTGCCTCCTGGGATGTATCTGCAAGTTGGTGCTTTAGCAAGTGGTATCTGCAAGTCAGCCATGATGGATGAGTCCTCAAGAATGACATGTGCGTCACCAGTAAAAGACCTGAGAAAGATCTCGGGCCTTCCCCACGTGGATGCTCAGTGAAGACGGCCGTCCATGCAGCAAGAAAGGGGCCTTCACCAGACCCCAGGTCACCCTGAGCTATGACCCAGCACTTGCCAGCCTCCAGACCTGTGAGAGGTACACTGCTGTTGCAAAGCCACGTGCCCATGGCAGTTTGTGCTAGCAGAGGAAACAGACTGAGGCAAAGAGGAAGGCCCGCCGTCGGTGACACAGTGACAGATGCACCACTGCAGAGACCCTGAGCAGCAGCCCAGGGAGGGCTCCTGGTCCACACGCTGAGCTCCTCCCTGCCATGACCAGACCCGCTGTTCCTCTGAGAGCACTGCTGTCACACAGGGCTGCAGGGGCTGCCTGCTCCCTGGCCAGCGAGTTGGTCTCCCCCTAGGACCAGGGCCCATGGGGAGCTGCCTTGTCCTCCTCCTGGCAGTCCCAGGGGCCTCCCCTCCTTGAAGCCAACCCTCCTTGGCACAGAACTCCTTTCCTTCTCCTTTCCCCACGAGGGGCTCCTGGGCAGAGTTTGGAGGACACCGGGCATGGAAGGGGACAGGCTGAATGCATGGCCTGCCTGGTTCCCAGCTCTGCTGGTGGGGCTCCCCCAGGCACAGACAAGATGAGGCATAAGGTCCGTGGGTCAGATCTCCTAGGGCGCCTGCACACTAAGGGCCTGGGCAGCGTTAAGAGCTGGGCCTCCAGCATCACGTTTCTCTACCACTGCCTGGCTGCTGTGACCATGGGCAGCTTCTGGGATCTGCCCACGGCTTCTCTTTCCAGTGGGTTCAGGGAGAGCCCACCTCACAGGGTCACCGGAGTTTGCAACAAAATTTCCCAAGACCTGCAGGCTCCTCTCATTCCACACCCAGTCCTCTCCCATGCTGCTGGGCAGACCCGCAACGGGGCGTCCTGCCTGTCTCCAGGAAGAGGCGCCCAACATTCCCCGGACAACCTGAAGGTGTTCCCACACGTCCCGCACAGTTGTTGGGTGGCTCGCGGAGGCGCCTGCCCCCACAGCGCCCGCGGAGTGCGTGCAGACGCACAGATGCGCGGGTCTGAGTGCGTGGCTCTGGAGGTGCGCGCGGCTCCGAGGTCCACATCGCAGTACTTGTGGGCGGGACCCTGCCATTGTTCCCCAGCGGCCTCCTATCCTTGCACTCTGGGGAGGAAGGATGGGGGGGGGGAGGGGGGCTCCAGTCTCCTGAGCCTCAATGCCGGGAGTGGAAGCCAAGCTTCCCCTTCCTAGGGTCTGGGGAATGGAAAGACTGGAGGCAGGGCTGAGCGATGGGCGCCGCCACAGCTTCCCGGGTATTTCCTGTGTAACCCACGCCCCGCTCCCTCATTCGCTCTGCGTGTTGGCGCCACCCCTACTCCAGCACCTGGTCCTCTCCGCCTTGCAGAGAGAAGGCTCGGAACACCTCCGAGGCCGCAGGGCGCCGGCAGGAGAGAAAGAGCGGGAGGGGGAGCTCGGCGCAGGCGGACGGAACAGCAGATTGCGCCGAGCCAATGGCAGTGGCAGCCGAGGTGGCACCAAATTCCTTTTGGCCAATGACGCGCCAGAGAGTACTGAAGCCTCATTAGCATTTCCCCAGGGGCAGAGGCTGGGCAGGGGCGGCGCGGCGCTGCTGTCCGCAGCATCTCTGCGTGGCTACAGTAGTCGCTGCCGCCCCACCTTTCCGTCCCCTCCCTTGTCCCGCCCTCACCTCCACGCGGGGCTCCTCGGTCACCCAGCCCTGCGCACTTTGCCCCTTGTTGGCCGCGGATGAGAGGGGTCTGAGGAAATCCGGGACGTGGGTATCAACTGCCAGCTCTTAGCCTTTAAATCCCCAGCCCCGAGGAGATCGCTGCACAGCTGGTTCGGACGCGGACCCGATCGCACGACCCGGCTGCGGGAAAGCCTTCCGACCCATCGCAGCGCCAAGATCGCCGCGCTCCAGCGGGCTCCGGATCCCACGCCTACCTTCTGTTCCCCCCGTTCCCTAACTCCACTGCTCACTCAGCCTCGCGACAGGGATCAGCAACCGGGAGGCAAGATGCCGGCCCATTTGCTGCAGGAGGTGAGCTTCCTAGCATCCGCCCCGAACTCGGGAGTCGCTGGTGGGGCTGGGACTTGGAGGTGACTGGGGTGGGGGCCCAGCCCAGAGCCATCTGTCCCGAGGTGTACCGGCATCAGCTGCTTGAAGATGTGGGTTCGACTCTGGGGGCTTGAATCCCCAACCTTTGATTCTTAAACTTTAAATCAAGAAAGACGCAGTCCTGCAGGTAACTGTGTACCTGCGACTTTTCCTCAGTGTGTCCTTGGGGTGCGAGTGCTTCACCCCTCCTTCCTTCCTCCTTCACCTCCAGGTTTCACCCCGATTCCTCTGTACAGTTCCTGGGAACTTCTGCCTCCTGCACGCGCACAGCACCCACTTTCCCCTCCCCCCTCTCCCCTGCCGCATTAGAGTGAAGTGGCCTCTGCTGCCTCCACTGTCTCCTGCTCTGACCCTCTTCCTCTCCCCCTCCTGGCCAGGTCTCTGGCTCCTACACCCCCACCACCACCGTCACCGCACCCCACTCCAGGCTCCTGCAGAGTGGAGAGGGCAAGTTGGAGAAGACACTCCTACCGGCGGAAGAAGACATCCGCCCTGAAATGAAAGATGACATCTACGACCCCAGCTACCAGGACGAGGAGGGCCCCAGGCCCAAGCTGGAGTTCGTCTGGAGGAACATCATCCTCATGGCTCTGCTGCACGTGGGAGCCCTGTACGGGATCACCCTGGTTCCCACCTGCAAGTTCCGCACCTGGCTCTGGGGTAAGCAGCGTCCCTGCCCTTCTGAGCCCGTGTCCAGGCTTCTCACTGCTCTCAAGTGAGGCAGGATCCCTGGGTTTTCCCAACCAGTTCTCCGCAGTTGCCTGAGAGCCTGTCTGGACTGGGAATGGAATGCAGGAGGGCCGATGGGATGCAGCGGGTCAGTTCTGGGGGTCCTTTAACTTGGGTTTTCAGGAGGGAGCCCGGAGACCATGTGCCACATGACTGAAGAGTGGACCTGTGCTAGAGTCAGCTGTCCCTGAGAGCTTCTCTGAGTCGTTTGCTTGATTCCTGTGCCAGCCCTGCCAGCCACAAGACAATCAGGACCCCGACCTGGGAGGCCCGGGAGCCTGGTGGAGACCAGGGTCCTCATGGTGTATGAGGAGCTCGCTCAGGAGAGGGAGCAGGGGGAAGCTGCTCAGGCAGAGTTCAGTGTAAAGGAGGCAAGGCGAGGTTGTTACCCAGGGAACTATTTCAGTCTTCTCTCCTGGCCAGACCAGGCTCCGTTTTTTATGGAGGAGGTTGAGGAAGGCTCCTGTGTCAGGCACGGTACATGGAACACAGATGAGGTGCTCTTTTGCTCATGTTGTCTCCAGGGTGCCGCACAGCCTAGCAAGTGTTCGGAAGCTGAAGAATGCACGTGCTTCACGTTCCATCTCCTGTGCCGCCCATTCCGGGCCCTCTGTGCTCATGCTGTGAAGCTCCAAGGCCCCAGCTCTTCCCACTCTCCCCTAGTTCTGTGGCTCCCTCCCGTCTCTCATCAGGGACAGCCTGACCGGGTCAGAAAAGAGGGCCCTGTGCAACTGGAGCCCGGAGGCTGCTGGGGGCAGGAGCTGGCCACCAACTTGTCCCTGACCTTCCCTTAGCTCATTTTGTTCAGGGATGCACATGGCCGGTGCGGGTGGGGATGGTCCTCACAGCAGGGCTGTGTGCCTTCAGTCCACACAGACAGTTCCTCTGCCCCCCGAAACCTCAGTCTGGATGGGGCTGCAGGAACCTTGCAGACCCAGCTTAGGGGCACTGAGGCAGGAGCCCCTCTCCAGAAGACAACGTGAGGTTTTCCTGAGCAGTCTCCTGCGGGCGTACTTTCTCACAGCCCATTTTAGCGGGTGGTTCTGTGGACGGGCAGGTCGGTCTAATGGAACCTAGCAGCTCATCCCAAAGCTGTGAGAACAAACTAGAAAAGTCCTCTGAGCCTTTCCATAGGAAAGACCGCAAGTACCGCCGTGAAATGCTGCTGCCAACATGTCCTTTCTCAGGATGTCTTTTCTGTTGCCCTGGTACCAACTGGGGGCCACAGCACTTCTTCCCATAGGCACGTCGTACTTCGTAGGTGATGTGGGGCTCATCGCAGCTGTTCTCATGACTGAGCTATGTGGAGAGGCTTCTACCTCCTTCCTTGTGGAGCCTCAGAAGAGCCCTTAGGGCAGGGCTGAAGAGACTCCTCTGGCAACGTTGAGGGCCACAGGGCCACAGGGAAAACCACCGAGTCTTTCTTAGGACCAGAGTTATGAGGCGTTGCTCAACCACCTATGTGTGCGTTAGTAATCTCTGCCAGGGAGAAGGCAAAGAGCAGCGACTCCTGGGTTCTATTTGAAAATGCTGCCAAGAAGGCACCACAGTGCTGGGCTCTTTTCCCAATGGCCTGTTAATAGGGGCTGTTGCGTGCTTTTTCTGTCAACTTGCCAGGGTCGTCTGCAGCATGAAGCAACTCTGGAATCTTCCTTGCTTCCCAGCAGGTTGTTCCTGCTCTTATGCCCAAAGCCATTTTCTTTCTCCTTGGTGAATGCAGGGCTGTGGTCCAAGGGCGGTTTTTCCGGGTACAGGGCAGTCAGGTTGTGTTTCCGGGAAGAAGTTATCCATCGCCACTTGGCTTGAGGTCACCGAGTCCCCTGGGGCCTAACTTGCAGCTCAGAGGGAATGCAGCGAGAATTGCCACTGGGCCACTCTGCCTCCTGTGGGAGGGAGAGTTGGGTGGGGGAGGAGGTGTTTAGGAAGCTCCTCTCTGTGGCTGCAGAGGCACACAAGAGCAGGTACAGTGTGCTGCGACGTGTGGTATTGCTACCTGTACTAGTTCCGTAGTCACCCACCAGCTAGCTCTTCCTTAGGAAACAAACATAGTTCCCAGTTTCTACCAAGGCTCAGCCCCTGCCTCTCAGGCTACTGAACAGAGAGAGTGATGGGTACACCAGCAACCTGCATCCCGGTTGGCAATTACATCTGGTACCTCCTGAGACCGCAGGCCTGGACGGAAGCAGACGCTCACCTGAAGCCTAGAGGAGACACAGACTCTAGCATCAGAACAGCGTCCTTGTCTCCCAGGCAGGACTGGCATCGCTCGCTGATACCCACTGTCTTTCCTGGCAGGGATATTCTATTATTTCGTCAGCGCCCTGGGCATCACAGCAGGAGCGCATCGCCTGTGGAGCCACCGGTCTTACAAAGCTCGGCTGCCCCTGCGCTTCTTCCTCATCATTGCCAACACCATGGCCTTCCAGGTAAGAAGCTGGCGCTGCTCAGCCCTTGCTTCTCCACCCTCTCGATGGCCTGGGAGCAGAATGGAGGGGTGGGCACCTGGAGAGGAGCTGCGCCGACAGCCCTGGCACTTTGCTCTCCCCTGTGTCACACGTGCAGGCTCAGTCCTGAAGTCCACAAAGCATGCAGACTGCTCTGGGTCGCTGGGAAGGGCAACGGGGATTAGCAGGACACACTCTTGATGTGCAGGATTGGTTTTGAGCCTAAGGTCCCCACGTTATTCTGGCCGGCCATTGTGTCCCTTCAACCCAAGGAGCCACAGAGCAGTGACTGAGCCTGGCTTTCTGGGCAGATGTGGACTGGAAATGCATTCTGTAACTGGAACATTTTAGGACTCCATGGGATTAAAATCGGTTTCACAGAATCATGCAGTCTGTGGTTTTCAGATAGAAAACAGATTTATAGTAAGGATCGTATACTAGGCACTCGTCTAAGCTTTTATTGACAAAGGTTAATTCATCAAATCCTCACAGCACTCTTATGATGTAGGTACTATTATAATCCCCAATTTAAACTGAGTCTTTGGCAGGCTCATAGCCCAACACTGTAGTCCTGTGTTGCGCTGCCTTGATGGCTAAGTCAGGAATTGAAGATTCTCAGGCAAAGAGAAGAGACAGAATGAAGGGAATTGTGGAAGAGAGACTCTGAAAGTTATTAAGCTATAGCAATGGGCAAAGGAGACAGCAATAGTGTGGGACTTAGCTTGGAGCAAGAGAAAAAGGAAATCAACTTAGTCCTATTTATCATGGCAATATCCAGGCTACTTAGCACATTTATGTAATCATCTCCACTATAACAACTCATACCTTGACAGTTCCTATCAAGAAAAAGATTTGAAACCAGGCACTCTGATCTGGATGCAGGCCTCTCAAGAGGCATTGTAATCACTGTGCCCTATGCCAGTTGCTGGTACCTTCTTAAAGGATATGGGATGAGTCCAGAGAAGCCCAGAGGTTCTTGAGCAATGTGGTCACGACCATGATTTACATGCCAGCCTTGGCACTGGGCTGTGTGAGCTGTCTCTTGCCACCAGAATGGAACTCCCTGCAGTTTTTTTTTTTTTTTTTTAAGATTTATTTATTTATTTGAAAGTCAGAGTTACGCAGAGATAGAGGGCTTCCACCCGCTAGTTCACTTCCAAACTGGCTGCAATAGCTGGAACTGCACTGCTCCTAAGCCAGGAGCCAGGAGCTCTTCCAGGTCTCCCACATGGGTGCAGGGGCCCAAGGACTTGGTCCATCTTCTATGCTTTCCCAGGCCATAGCAGAGAGCTGGATTGGAAGTGGAGTGGCCAGGTCGCAAACCGTCACCCATATGGGATGTCGGCACTCTAGGCAGCAGCTGTAACATTACGCCACAGTGCCAGCCCCTCCCTGCAGTTTTATCCCTGATCAGGACCCTAGCGCACAAAATGGCCTGCCTTGTGTCCTCAAAGCCCAGGAATCAGGCTGTAAGCTTCCTTATTACGGAAGTGCAGTGTTCATTCCTAGTGAAACCATCCGGGCTCTGCGTGCTTCACCTCGATTCTACCCACCACCTCACCTGCAGGGGGCACAGGCACAGCCACGTGGTCCTGGGAGCATGAGTGGCCCTTCCCCTTCAGCCTCAGTGGCAGGGGTGGGGCAGAGGGGAGGCGGCACCAGGACTCCTCAGGGGCCCAGACTCCTGGGTGTTGTGAGCTGCGCCTGGAAGACACCTCTGCCGAGAGTTCTCCTGAGAGGACGTCCGCTCAGGCTGCATCCCTTTCTCTGTCCCTCCAGAACGATGTGTTTGAATGGGCCCGAGACCACCGTGCCCACCACAAGTTCTCAGAAACCGACGCGGATCCTCACAATTCCCGCCGTGGCTTTTTCTTCTCGCACGTGGGCTGGCTGCTTGTGCGCAAACACCCTGCGGTCAAGCAGAAGGGCGCTCTGCTGGACTTGTCAGACCTCAAAGCCGAGAAACTGGTGATGTTCCAGAGGCGGTGAGTGAGGGGCGATGGAGCTGGGGATGTGCTCCCGGCCCCTGGAGCGTGGGGACCCCAGTTTTTCTCCAAGGACTTGCAAGTTCAAAATCACCATTTTTAAACCCCAAACGTTAACATCCTACAGGCCCACCACCATAAACTATGGTACTGGCTCTTCCTCTCTGAGCTACCTTAATTAAACCAACTGAGTACAAGAATTCATTGACGTGGACACATTAATGACACAAAAATGCATGTAGCTGAGTCCTCACCTTCAAGGAGTTTGTAGTCTAGGAGGGCTGGAGCGGTAAGCCAAGGTCCAAATAGCCATGGGCGCAAGGCAGAACAGTTTCTGAACCACCAGCGGCACAGAAGACAGAGAGGTGGCTTGGCGAGAACTCCAAGGGTTTATGAAGGAAGCAGGATGAGAATGCACTGGGGGACAGGGATGTTCACTAGCGTGTGTGCACAGGGACAGTGCACACAGAAAGAGGACAATGAGCTGCAGCACCCAGGTGTCCCAGCCACGGGTGCTCCTGCTTGGAGGACAGGGGGTGACAGAACCCACACTGCAGACAGACTGTGTCCCTCTTACCGGGTCCTAAAGGCAGACCTGGGCTGTGACTTAGGGCGCAACAGGAAAGCACTGACAGGTCTGAGCACAGAGAGGCAGCGTGAGGTCTGCTTCAGAAGGGCCACTCTCAGGACAGGGGCCAGAAAGCAAGGACCAGAGAGGAGAGGCAGGGACAGCAGTTAGGGGGTCAGGGGATCCACGCTGGGGAAGCAGAGGCAGGACTGGGAAGGGCGTGATGCAGCGAGGATGTGACTGCTGAAGGAGGCAGGGAATCACTCTGCCGAGTGGCAGTGGCCACGTCCCCAGGGAGAAGGGAGAGTGGGACAGGCATTCAGACAGACACACAGGTGATCAAGGCCACTCAGTGCCTCTCTGGGGGCAAAGAAGAGCAGAGAATTAGAGGGCGGTCACAGGAGATGGAGGCACGACACCAAACAGGGACGTGTGCCACAAGAGCTCGATGGGCAAGAGCAAGGAGCCCAAAGGCAGATGGGCATGGGCCCAGGCTGGGGATCTCTGATCCAGAATTGGGGTTTGGATCTCAGCTGTGAACTTAGCACCAGGGCCTTGTGCACAGTGGACAGAGGCTGTGGACTGGAGCCAGGAGGCAGGCATTCCAATCTGTGCTGTGCTGGTTCCCAGTGACCTCAGAGAAGTCCTGTACCCTCCTCATCTCCCCATCCACAGAGTGAGGGCCTATCACGGCATGCCCAACAGATGCCCACCCCTGTCTCACAGCAAGGGAGAAGAGGTGGCCCAGCCCAGGGAGCATGGACAGCAGGGGCAGGTCTGGATCCCCTGTGCCCCGGCTCAGCCTGTGATCTCCCCATGCAGGTACTACAAACCCGCCGTCCTGCTGATGTGCTTCATCCTGCCCACACTCGTGCCCTGGTATTTCTGGGGTGAAACTTTTCGACACAGCTTGTACGTGGCCACTCTTCTGCGTTATGCCATAGTGCTCAATGCCACCTGGCTGGTGAACAGCGCTGCCCACATGTTTGGATATCGCCCATATGACAAGAACATTCAATCCCGAGAGAATATCCTGGTTTCTCTGGGAGCTGTGGGTAAGTCAGCAGTGCATAGCAAGACCATGTCCAGTGGTCTGCTGGTTAGGGTTAGCCTAGGAATTAGAAATCACAGATTATTCTGCTTCATGGCCACTTTTTAATCTCACTTTTTCTGCTAAAATAAAGTATGCAGTAATATGAATGTCAATAGGCATTGAGGCAATAGGTATTATATGAAAATTAAAGGGTAAAAAATTACTGGCTATGATTCTAGGTTTCCAAGCCATCTCCAAATGCTGGATATTTTGAGTTCTCTTTTTCCCATTCTCCGTTTTACTGGCCTAAAGTCTTACATGGCCAAGGGGAAGCATAAGACAATGGGGTCGTCACAGTGATCTATGAGACAAATGTTTTCTATTTAAACATGCCACATAAAATGTAGACATGACTGATTTAATTAAACCATGTCCCACTGAATGTATTTTTCATCTCCCTGTTATATTCATGTGCACCATATTTTCAAGTGGGAGCCATGCCTTATTGTTTGGTGATTCCAGCATGAAGAGCATCAGACTCCCAACTTGTCCCTTCTTCTTTTTTTCCCCCTTCTTATCTTTTATTTTTCTCTTGTCTGTTTCTATTCTATCCTAGGAACACTGATTCTCCTAGCATGGCTTAGGAATTCCTCCATAGAGAGCTAGTTTGATCTCAAATTCTTGCTCATTGATCTAATGTTGCCTGTTCCTGAATTTATTTCTCCCCATAACTCCAATCCTAATTGTCAGAGATGAAGGTGATAGGATTCTCTATCAACTGTCTCCATTATTTTTTCTATCTCTCTTTCTGTTGTATATAGATTTGGATTAATGCCTCAAGTTAGTTTTTCCTAAGCAGACTCTGTGACCTCCTTCAGCAATGATCATTGCTAATGATCATCCAATAAAACCTAGGCAAGTACACCACTCGCATTTATGCCCATCGTTGCCTAACACTCATCTTTTTCTTTAATATCTTCCTTTGTATTCACAACCTGCTCATATTTACCATTTTATTAAAAGCATGCTTTCTCCATCACTTTTGACTTTCATTCAGCTTCCTTCTCCTTCGGGGCACCTTCTCTCATTCAGCATGTTCTTACTTTGAAATAAATCACCTATGCTGTATATACCTCAGTTGCTTATAGCTATGGCATTTTCTGCACTGAGATGTGCCCTGTATTGTAAATGTGTCTATGGTGAGCGTCCTCCACTGCAGCCTGTTGAAGATCACCAGTTAAAGTGTGCTCATTCACTTCTCCATGCCTGCTGCTTTCCTCCCTATCTCCTCATCCTCTGCTCTTCCCTGGCCCTGTTTTCTGCTTTTCTGTTTTGCTTCTGGACACACCTTGCTCAGGGCCATGTGCTTATCCTATCTACCACAGCTGGCCTTCTCCCTGAGCCTCCCTTGGGCTGTCTCTTGCTGCCCTGATCCTTACTCCACCGTTGATCCTCCTCTGTTTTCTCTCTGCATCTGTGTCTCACTCCGTGTTACGAGTGGTACGTGTGGGCCAGGTGAGTGCTCACTGAGAGCCTTGCTGCAAACTCATTTCAGGGGCTCAGCAGTCCTCCATCAGCACCCTTAGTCTTGGGCTTGCCCACCCTCTCCCCAGCTCCCACTGGGGGTGAGCAGCGTCACACAGGAAGCACACACCTTGAGATGCCCTGGGTGGGGTCACTGCCTTTGCTGGACATGCTGTCTTGCTGGCCATCGATGTCATTCCCTCTCTATCTGCAGTGTGTTTATCTGCACAAGGCCCAACAGCCGCTCTGTTGGCTTCCCTTTACCCTGGCCTGACAAGGGTCAGGGTGCCCTTGTTGGACGCAGCTCAGAAAGAGGGGACCTGGCAGGAGTCGCCAACCTCTCTCTGCAGAGACTCCACAGCTTTACCTACTACAGGAATTGTCCTCAGTCCAGAATTTCTTTTTCTCTGTCTGTCCATGTGAAACTCTTGTCCCGAGAATTCTCAGCATCTCGGAGGTCAGAGGGAATATTTCAGCAATTTGTTTCTTCTTTCCAAAGAGAATGTCTATCTTATCAGCACCACCCCCAGCCCAGTCAAAGCTGGAAGAATGAGAAGGCAGAGCGGCCCACTCTGCGCCAGCAGAGGCTGAGGAAACCGCAGCCCTGGGCTGGCCTCCTGTCCTCTATGTTTGGCCACTGCCTCCTGTTCCATTGGAAGCTCCCACCCTTATGGTGGTGCCGCTGCTGTGGGGAAGGCGGGTCCTCTGCTCACTTGTAACAGCAGAGCCCAAGTTCCTCATTCTGGACTCTCCCCTCTGCACCCCAGCACACGTACACACACAGCCTTTCAGGCCTTGGGTCAATGCTTCCTGAAGCTCTGGAGGTTGCCAACCGACACTGCATTCTCAGCAGTAGTCCCTGCTCCACAGTCAACTCACACATGCTCTGAGAAACCAAGTAGGGGTGACAACGGCCTCATCTATCATTTCTTAAGGTGCTTTGAGGGGGATCCACTTGCTATAGAGTAAGAGACCAGATCCATCCCTCTGTCCATTCTACAGCAGCATATTTCTGCTGGATTCCAGGAACACTGCTAGGAAGACAGGAATCCACCCAAGCTCCATGACATTTCTCCTTGCTTTTGTTGCAGGTGAGGGCTTCCACAACTACCACCACTCCTTTCCCTACGACTACTCCACCAGTGAGTATCGCTGGCACATGAACTTCACCACATTCTTCATCGACTGCATGGCTGTCCTGGGCCTGGCTTATGACCGGAAGAAAGTATCCAAGGCTGCCATCTTGGCCAGGATTAAAAGGACTGGAGACGGAAGCTACAAGAGTGGCTGAGTTCTGAGTTCCTCAACTTCTTTGCCAAAAGCTAGCCAGGCAGAGGTTCACTGTTCTGTTTATTAACTACTGAATAATGCTCCCAGGACGCTAAAGATATTGACCTTAACCCATTCCAGCATAGTATTCTTTAAAAAAATGCAAAAATTTTTGATAACTTGTTTAGGTAATCCATATGTTAATTAGCCAGGTTATAATCATTCATATATATGTATATACATATATATACTTCAAAATATCATGTTGTACATGAGAAATACATAAAATTTTATCTGTCAATTTTTTAATCATGAGAATAAATTTGAGCATTCTTTAAAAAATTATTGGAAACCAACAACTATACCTTTATGATGCTAAGCTGATACGTATTTCTTGTCTGACTTCCTCTCTTTTCTATTCCCATTCTCTTCTTTGCTTTGTTCCTATCACCTTCCTTTCAACTCTAATTGCTTCTTAAACAAGAAGCTGGTCAGTTCTTGGTTGGTGTCCACCTTCCAAAGCCTACACAGCCTTTTTAAGATTTCAAAACATAGGTAACTCTTTTTTCCTTGTGCTGTCAGAACTTTAAGGTAGGTTGCTTGAGCCAGAGGACAACACAGTCTTCTGGGAAATCCCTTGTTAATTATTATCAGCCAGGCTTTGCTAGATAGAATGGAAGAATAACTTTACTAGGCACAAAGCTTGTATAGTAGGTAAATTGCAGGTAAACTGTCAGGGGAGAGGTTAGCTGCCGTGGCATGACTGATAAGTGAGGGTGGGGTCGAGGTGCGAGATGAGCAGAGAGGAAGGTCTTGCTGTGATGAGACACACAGCTGTCTACCTAGCCAGGACTTTGAGCCCCTCCTCACATTTCTGTTTTCTGCTGACTATGAGTAGGGTGTGGCCTGGAGCTTGGCACTGGTAGAACACACAAGCAAATCTCAGTGCCCCTGCAGGCTTTCGGCAAAGAAGAAGCATTTAGTGTGTAGTAAAAGTGTTCATGGCTGGGGAAGGAGCTCTTTAATAAGGAGATTTTTTATTTCATGGAATAAGAAGTTTTGAGGTTTGGTGTTGGTAGGAATGATGACTATGCATTTCTAAATATCCAAAAATGGAAGAATTTCAAGAAGTAGAGTTTGGTCAAACAAAAATACATAGAGATATATATGTCCTTTGCATAGAACATCAAAATATTTCCCCTGGAATATTTTTCTTTGAAAGAGGGATGTTTATGAAACCTCAAGGATAGGAGGAATTAGCTGATTTGTCTGATCCTCCCACCTGTGACCACCACCCTCTATGGCTGGCAGAGAATGGAGAAGCTGACAACAGGGTTTGTAGGCAGCTTGTAAGTGATAACTACCCACACTGCCATGGGTTCAGAAGAGAGTAGGTCATTGGGTGTCCTAACGAAACAAGTTCAATGTCACGTTCATTCATTAGTTCCAGCTTCTCCTGGGAATGAGTAACATTGTGCAGTTGTCTGTCAACAATATGAGCCTCTTCATTCACTCTTTGCTCTTTTAAGTTCTAGCCTAGAGTATAGGAATGCCTGGGAAGCAAGGTAGTAATCTATTTGCCACAGTGATTCTTGATTTTTGGCCCTGCCCTATCTTATTCTTACTCTTCTCTGACATCGTCTCTGACTCTGGTCAGGCAGCCTTGCATGTGTTCAGAGGCAGTGACAACTGCTGCCCAGGCAACTCCTCCTGCAGACACAACACTCTGGGCCCCAGACCTCTGTTTCTCTTTAGCAAGGACAGCTGCTCCACTTTTCTGTGCCTCTAGAGGCCTTGTACCTCCTCTCTCTGCCACACTGATGGCTCTGGACAAGGCTGGCAAAGCCTCCCAGAACTATCCCTGGTTCCTATCTCATGATACATGGCCAAGCCAAATGCTCATGCTGTGCCAATGAGGCTGCCATGGAGCCAAGGAGGGTTTGTGTCTGGTCAGAGCAGAGAGCACGTTGAGTGCCCCCTGTTTGCTCAGTCAGGTGGCCCCACTGAGCAGGGCTCCCAGCTGACAGAGCAATGCTTGTAGAAGGAGGAGGATGCCTAGTCCTTGCTAGGAAGCACAAGCAGCAAGGCCCAGTTCCCAAGTGCCTCATTTTCAAGGGAGACCCTGATCCTGGAGCAGGCTGTGCTGCAGCTTTGGTTGAGATGTGGTAACTGAGAAACCACACCTTGCTGAACAGACTCTCTGTTCTGACTAACCAGCCTTCCCTACCACACAGCCAAAGGCAGACAACAGTATAGAAGAATCTAGGAAACAGAACCTCAGTGTTTTAGATCCTTGGACTCCTGTCCCAGTCCCTCAGCCATTAGTGCAGAAGCCTGGCTTCGCTCTATCACCACTGGAAGTGCGCAGTGTCACACACTGTCCACTGCTGAGCCCTATGGTGGGAGGGAGAAGGGCCCTTCCTGTGTTAATTGAATAGAGGCCACAGGGATCAAAGAGGATAAAAGGCATCTTTGTCTTTTGAGCTGTTCAACTCAACAGAAAGGAATCTGATGGCAGATCACTGTTTACATCTGCTGAGCTCTGCCTGTCGTCTGGAAGTATTTGTAGGGCAGTTCCTTTGTACAGGTCATCAGAAGCCTGCTTTACAATACATGAACAATGTGATCAACTTTCTCTTCTATTCCTGTCCCATGGATTTGATTTATGGCATGAATCTACACAGGGCTGAATGGAGACCTCAGCCTGAGGGCCTCTGGGCGTGGAAGCCTGGGTGTGTCTGCTGAGTTAGGAACAATATTTTCAAGTTTTTAAAGTTATACATTAATGAGTAACTCAGATGTAATCAACAGGAGAATTTCTAATAGTCCTGCGTTGTAGACGTGCTGACAACTTATTCTAGTGCCTTACATCTTTTCTAATCTGTGCTGCACACGAGTCAGCCCTCACTCCCACAGCGGAATCTCTTTGCACCTGTGAGCCCACAGAAGTGGCAGGTAGACAAGGGAACCTGACTGGAGAATGTCTGGTCTAACAATTTTCAGGAGTCCCTTGGCTTCATTTGGGAAATTTTCCTGAGGGCTGCTTCAGCTAAGTGCCCACATTTGATGAACTGTGGAAGTAATCTGAATGTATTCAATTCACAATTTGTCTTTAGATTTAAGGATGCCTGTAACATTTAAAAAGGAAAATTTCTATTTGGTTTGCTAGGATGCTCATATATTCTCTGTAAGTGTACCTCAAAAGGGTCAGTGTGAAAGGTAGGAAAGTAAGGTGGCCAGATTACGCTGGTGGCTAAGGTCAGGCCTGCTACTGTGCCACTGACTTACTCTGTTACCCTATTTAGGTCATTTTATTAGAATGTGCCTCAATTGTCCTTCTGTAAAAATGGGTATCGTAATGCTGACTCACACCAAAAGGGCAGTTTGATGCAGGACTAATAACTTTTTATAAAGCATTTTGGGATCCTTCGTAGAAGAATTCTCCAAGTCCTGAGTATCTCCACGGTAGCAGTGTCCACCGTGAACTTGTATGCTCTTGTGTCCCAGATGCTCACTTTAGTGTACAATGTTCTCTCCTGAGACTGAATTAATCTATTAGATGGGTAAGGGCACTCAACTGCTGAGAGATGTGAGAACCATCCGCAGTGCCATGAGAGCAAGTGCAGGACCCTTCTCCCTTGCTTGGGTGGATTTTCCCTTTTTATGTGGAACAGGAGTTATCTGTGACCTAAGAATAATTTTGCAATAATTCTATTCATGTCAACTCTGAAGCTAGTTGTACTGATCGGACACTGTGTTGGTTCACAATAAAAGGGAAATGAATCTGATTGCACCATTGTCTTGGAGTTTTGTGGCTCTGATTCAGTCTCCTGGGACCTGCCCCTGTGGCCTAACACCCTGTCTCTGTGCTGTGCCTTTAAAATTAAAAAAGTTGAATCTGCCCCACCCTTCTTAGAGGTAACTTTAGGTTAAACTCTAGGCAGAAGCAAACCTGAGACTGCTGCCATTAGATCAAACACTAACACCTTCTGGCGCCTTAGCCTGGGGGTAGCCAGGTTGCCCCTGTGTTGTCACATGGTCCCAAGGACCCAAGACAGAGACCCTGAGGGAGTAGGGAAGTAGCAGGAGACACAAGGCCTGGGAAATCCATTCCTGATCTTGCAACCTCTGGGCAGTCCAGCTCATTTCTGTCTAAAATGTCCTCCCCTCCAGGGAACAAATCAAGTTCCAAGCATTCTATGGCACCACAGCAAACAAGAAGGAAATGGATTCAGAGAAAGTTTGTCATTTCCAGGAGCAAGGAGGGCTTCATGAGCACAAGGCTTCCTTTGACCTTTAGCTTTTGCTAAATACTACTTGCAAACCATATATATGATAGAGGATTAATAACTAAAGAATAAAAGGAACTCTTACAACTCAACAGAATGACAAGTAACCAATGTAAAAATAGGCCGAGTGGAGGGCATATTTGGCCTAGTGGTTAAGAAGCTGGTTAGGACACCGGCGTCCTTCATCAGAGTGCCCGAGTTTCACTCACGGGCTCCAGCCCTCACTTCCAGCTGGGAGACAACAGGGGTGGTTCACTTAGTCCTTAGCCTCATTTAGTCACTGGTCTACTCCCTAAATGGCAGCAATGGTCAGGACTGGGCCAGGCTGAGGCCAGGAGCTTCCTCTGGGTCTCCCATGTGGGTGCAGGGCCCAAGCTCCTAGGCCATCCTTTACTGCTTTCCAAGGTGCATTAGCAGGAGCTGGATTTGAAGTAGAGCAGCCAGGACTTGAACCAGTGTCCCAGGCAGCTATTTAACCCACTACACCACAATGCCAACCCAACACCTTTGCTTATAATCCAGCTTCCTATTAATGTATCCTGGGAGGCAGCAGATGATGGCTCAAGTGCTTGGACCTCTGCCACCCATGAGGGAGACTCAGATGGAGTTCCAGCCTCCAGGCTTCAGCCTGACCCAGCCCTTGCTATCTGTGGGCATTTGAGTAGTGAATAAGTAGATGGAAGATCATTCTCTATCTCTTGTATTCTCTGTCACTCTGCTTTTCAAATGGATGAAAATAAATAAACATTAAAAAAAAAACAGAGAACAGATGATCTAGTGTTTCTGTTCCTAAATATATGGCCAAAAGAACATGTCTACACAGAAATTTGTACATGAATATTCATAGAAGCATGATGTAAAAACCAAAAAGTAGAAACAACTTAAATGTTCATTAACAGATGAATACATATATATGGTAAGTTTATGCAACAAGATATTGTTCAGTCATGAAAAAGCATGAGGACTGATACATGGTATAACTCAGATGGAGCTTGGAGTCACCACTCTAAAGCAAACCACATTCTCCCTGTGCCTCAGGGAGAAATCTGTGAGGGAGTGAGCCTGGTGCTCTGATCTGGCTCCAGAACCGCGATCCTAACACCTGGCTCTCCTGGGCATGGAGCAGATGAAAAACTAGTGAAGCCTACATCTCTCACACATCCAAGTATAGGAACGGTGATAGTCACTAACACTCAGAGGCAAAGCCTGGTGTGGCCCTTCCTTGGGGTAGCAATGGCAGGGAGCTTCACTCATGCACACACTGGGGATGCCTCCTCTGCCAGGAAGACCCAACTCACTCCACCCAGGGACCCACCTTCCTCCTCACCCGTGCCTGAGTGCTAAGTGGTCCTGTCAAACCACAGCAACTTGCCTGACCTTTCCCCTCTCTTTCCCAGCACCCCCACTCTCCTGCATGGTCTTGCACTCTGCAAGGACAGCCTCCTCTTTCAGAAATGACTCCCTGCGCTAAATAGTCAAAGAGCTGGAAAGATCTCACGTCTTGTTTTAAATTCTGACTGTGTGACTCTGTGAAATGTCACAGGGAGTGGGAGTCCTATTCTGTGACTTGTACTTAACATTTTTTGCCACAGGCAAAACACTGATTCTTACACATTAACTTTGGGGCAAATGCCACAAGCCCTAATCACAGGCTCCAAGGAATTCCATGGGGTTGCTGGAAGCACGAACCTCCCACTTTGGGGACCCAAGTCTGCCACACCCAGGCCACAGAGGGCTCACAAGGGCTCAGTGTGGGCTCTGCTGACTCACAGGGTTCTTTGCCCAGGCCAGGACCTCCTCGATGCAGCCAAAAGGGCCTCTCTCTTGAGCCATTTCCCAATAGGGAGCAGTGAGTAGCGAGGGCCAGATGAGGCTTTAAAAACCTTGGTGAGGGGACGGCACTGTGGTGTAGTGGGTAAAGCTGTCATCCATTTGGTAAAGCTGCCAGCATCCCATTTGGGTACTAGTTCAAGTTCCAGCTGCTCCACTTTTAATCTGGCTCATTTCTATGGCTTGGGAAACCAGTGAAAGATGGCCCAAGTGCTTGGGCCCCTACACTCACATGGGAGGTCAAGAGGAGGCTCCTGGTTCCTGACTTTGGATCAGCCCAGCTCTAGCCCTGTGGCCATTTGAGGAGATCTCTCTCTCTCTCTCTCTCTCTCTCTCTCTGCCTCTCTGTAACTCTGTTTTTCAAATAAATAAATAAATCTTTTAAAAAAGTATCTTTAAAAATTAAAATAAAAACCTTGGTGAACAAAGAGAGGAAATGAGCAAAGAAGAAAATGAACACTTGGGCCGTGAAGGGGCCAGAATGATCCATGGCTGTTTTCTCATTCCTTAGAGAATTCTGGACAGTAGAAAATCATCTTTCAGTGGGTTTATTTGTTTCTTTCAGATATATATACATGCACAAACATTTTAACTATAATGGAATTTACATAACATAAAACCATGTGAAAGCGTATAGTTTTGTGGCATTTAGTGCATTCACTACATTGTGCATCCATCACCTCTACTTTCAAAACCTTTTCACCATCCCAAAGAAAACCCTGTCTATTCAACAGTGACTCCTCATCTTCTTCCCACCCCCACCCCCACCCCCACTGCATCCCAATCCCTGGCAAACACTAATCTGCTCTGTATCTAAGAAGTTATCAGTTCTGGATATTTCATAGCAATGGAATATGACATCATATGCTGGGCTCCTTCCTTAAAATAACGTGATTGATGGTCACCCGTGTTGTGGGTAAGGATTGGTACTGCATGCCGTTCATTGCCTCCTGCCCCCAGTGTGTGCTGGTACCACGGATGGTGGTTTACCAGTTCATCCGCTGATGACTGTGTGAGCTGTCACCACCTTTTTGCTACTGTGAACAGTGCTGCTATGGACACCTGCCTGCAATTCACTCGGGTATCTACCTAGGCGTGGAGGGCTGGGACACACGGTTATTCTGTGTTTAATGTCTCCAAAGGGGCTGACCCCACTGGCACCACACCAGCAACGCACCAGGTCACCCCTGCTCCTTCATGTGGACACATCTGTCCCTTTCTCCTCCCTACCCCCAAGGAAGCCCGTCCCCAGACTGCCCTTCTCCCTGGGGTAGAGGGTGGCCACATGGCACCTCTGCCAGAAAGGTTCTCCCGGGGCCAAAGCGTCCACTCTCACTTTTTTCACCATAGGGCCTAGGGAGCCGGGGCAGGCCAGGCCATGAACCCCCTCCCTGTGGTCACTTGGGCACAGCCACGACAGCCACCCACGTGGCTATAACACCACGCCTCAGCCACCTCCAACACCTCTGTCCTCACGCAGATCCACACCAAACTCTCCCAAACACGCAAGGCCCAGTGCACAAAGCCAGCGGCTCTGCGTGGAAGCCATGGGCCAGCGGCAGCCAGGCGGGTGGGCACGCAGCACTCAGCTCCACTGAACATCCCCAAGCCACCGCCTGCCTGGCTCTCGCCCAGCCCCCTCTGCTGAGGGCGGGCCTGTCTGAGCCTGGCTGGCGGCCAGCAGGAGCCTGAGGACAGGCGCGCGCCCCGCCCCTCCCACCGGGGTTACTGTCGGTCACAGACCCAGGTCCTGCAAGCTACTGACACACAAGCCAGCCAACAGCGCCTGACCCGGCGGAGCCAATCAGCAGCCGCCAAGCTTGTCTGATTCCATCTGCTCCAACCAGGAGGCGCGATCGTTCCAGCCTCCCGCTCCTGTGAAGCACCAGGGCCTGGTGGCATTTTTCCTTTCAGGGCGTCTGCCTCAGGCGCTCCTCTCCCAGCCCTCAGTCTGCCCTCCCCGGGAATGGGGAAGTGCGGGCGCACTAGTAGTGGGTCGGAGTTTCACGTGCATCGCAGTGGAGAGCAGGTTCCTTCCCCGCAGAGGGCCCCCGCTTCTCTTCGGGGCAACCGCAGACAGGGCTGTGGCCTCGCTCTCTGCCCGGCCTCCCCCTGCGGTTCCCTCCCCTGCGCCTCTGGTCCACAGCGGCCTTGGAGGCCCTGTGGCCTTGGCTGACCAGGGCAGGCCCCAGGCAGAGCTCACTGCAAACAGCCACTGGGGAGCAGGGAGAGGGGCCGAGAGTCAGCGGAACAGACAGCGGGGTGGGCATGCGGAGAGCAGAAGTCACCTTAGTGTAATCTGAAAGGCAGTGAGAGAGAAAGAGGGAGATGGAGACATCTTCCATTCGCTGCCCCCCCCCTCCCCCAAATACAGCAACAGCCAGGGCTGGCCAGGAGAAGGCCAGGAGCTGGAACCCAATCCCAGTCTCCTGTGGCCTCCCACGTGGATGGCAGGAGGGACTCAGCGACTCCAGCTGTCATCCACTGCCTCCAAGGCTGTAGGTTAGCAGGAAGCTGGGTCTGAATTGGAGGAGCTGGGACTCCAACCCATGACTCTGATGTGGAATGCACGCATCCCCAAAGGAGTCTTAAGGGCTGCAGACTGTGACAAACGCCTGCCCTAAGGAGAGGGGGAATGAAGGCACAGAAATCCCAGAGTGTTCAGGATC